CAAAAACCCACCAAAAAAAAAAATGGCATGAAATCCTTACTTAATTGGCGAAAAATGTAGTGTAACAATTGAAAAATAGGCATCTACATAAAAAGTGACTAATTGTCAGTTTACTGTACCAAAAGTTGGCATTTGAGAAATGACACGTCTTTACTGAACAGCCTACTGTGTGCTAGATGCTGTGCTAGACCCTCGAACCCTACTAATACCTTGCCTGCACTTAACGTCTGTGACTGTTCTGCAAGTAAATATAACTATTAACATGCGTGATAAATAAAACTTCTCTGCATGTCTCCGCAGTCCCTGTATCTTGCGTCTGTCTTCTGTCTTTCTTCTTTTGTCTGTCTGTCCCCGCAAAGGCACAAAGATAAGGTAGAGAACTGAACTAGTGCCCCTTAGTGGAGGAGACAGGCGAGAACCCAGATCCTCTGCTCTGTACGGGGGGCTGAGGGGAGCTGCCATCACCAGTTGTTATAGTCCATGAGACTTCTAGCCGTAGGTAATGTGTTTTGGCTTTAGAGACATCTGAGGAACTTTCTCTGAATTTTTCACAATCAATGTTCAGTTCATTAAGTGATAGTAAAAATGACGACAAACCTGCCAGCCGCAGTATAATATCTCCATCTACATAGTAATTGCTTCAATGGCAGAATTTTATGTTTTAGTATTACACACCCGAATTAGATTTCGGATTTCTTTTTTAGCTGTTTTATACTTGATATACTCCCACACCTGCTCACATACGTAGACGAACACTGAGCACGTTCTCAAAATATCCGCATTTAAGACTGGAACGGTTCCAATTATCATACTACTACTTAGACCAAAAAATCAAGCTGAATGAAAGCGCCTCGTTTCTCGAAATAGTTTTCTCTGGCCGTATGTACTGCTGGGTATTTAATACGCGGACGCAGCTCATCTTAACTATTGTGGGACTTTAAACCCAAAGGGTAATGGCTCGTTGCCATGGAAATGGAGCCTGTTTTTTAATGAATAGGAACGCATTTGTCCTGGGGTCGCAGGGGAGTTTGTACCCCTGAGTAATGAACATTGTGGGGGGGCGGTCAGACACCCACCCTTAACATCTAAATAACTGACTTGAGACTGGCACCGAGTCTGGGCATCCCTCTCAATTTCAAGAAGGAGCTTCCGTGTCTCACGCGAAGCGGAGGGGTGGCTGGTTGCCTTAAGGGGGTGGCGGGGGATCGAGTCAGACTTGAGGGTGTGGGCTCCTCCCCGCCCCCCGTTTGCCCACCCCTGTTGCGATCACACCTGCTCTTCACGGGCAGCACTCATTTCAACAGCCACGAGGGGGTTCCTGGTGCCACCTGCCGCCCCCGCCCCGAAACCTGTGCGGCCCTTCGCCGCCGGCGAGAGCGGCACCCCGGAAACAGCTCCTTATTCTGGCAAACGGGCCGTGTCTCACAGGCCAGCTAAACAGGGAGGGGTGAGTGAGCTCAGAAGATGAGGACCCACCCCCCAGACAAATAAGCAGACACTTTGAAAGAAGAAAATGCTCAGGGAACATTAGCTATTACAGTTCGAAACAGGAAATACCAGGTTGCGGGCGGGGTGGGGGGGGAAGGGGCCTTTCAGCAAGCAAGCACATCACCCCCACCCCCAGTGGGGCCCCCCACCCACACTCCTAACACTGCAGCCGCTGCTAACCCCTTGCTTGTCCTCTGCACTGACTGTGACTGTGTTTTAGCCCCGAGCTCCATGGCTCTTGGTGAACAAGCAGGTGAATGCTTCAGAGATTGGGGGTGGCAAGAGGGTCTTTAAAAAATTACAGCAAGAACGAGATAAACTGTCCCTTCTTCTGCCTCTGTGACTCACTTTCCTTCAGTCTCGGTTTCCTCCTCGGGATGACAGCCACATGCCAGGGCCCAGTACACAGCAGGTGCATGTTGCTTGCTCGGCCCCCACTCGACCAAGGAGCAAGGTCGGGGCCATAGACGTGACAGGATTTATACCCCAAGATTACGCTCCCAGCTAGGGGTCCATCCTTGTTCCCTGTAAACAAACTTCCCCTGGCCGACCTCTAAGGAAGGACGGTCCGACACAGCGTTTCACATGCTGTGGTGGGGTGCAGACACTCCATCAAGGGGGCCCCAGAAGCCAGGGTTTCCTTTAATAGTGACCGACTGCAGATCGCTCCACACGGGCCCTCCTGGAATATGTCCAAAGTAAAATGAAACATGACAGAAACTAACCCCAACTTAAAGAGGGGGACATACCCCACAATATAAAAGTCTCGTATCATGAAGACATCTGAGGACAGCATCTTTATCCTTAGTCACGTGGAAGGATCCATGTGCAGTAATACACTTCACTAGAAACAGCCACTCCTGCTGGCCGCAGTGACAGACACAGTGACTGAATACGTAAACAACAGATTCAAAGCCCTGTCGTCAACACCCCACCTGTATTCAGTCCCGAGGAAGCCCCAGTGGGACCAGGGGACGCTTGTCCCCAGCCCCACGATGACACAACACCCCACCCGGGAAGGCAGCTGGTGCCGACTTCTGGTACAGTAGCCTGGCTGTCACCTGGCCAGTTTGCCAAGTGGCCCCATCGGGCATGTCCTCCAGACAGAGCTGCGAGCTTAGAATTCGAAACGTCCCCCCATTCAGGAAGCCCCAGTCCTCGCAGATCTGAACCCAGCACTCTGAGAACAGAATGCTATGCTTTGAGTCGGAGCGTCTGGACTGAAGCGGCACCGTCAGCCGACGTGATGCAATATGATTTCTGTTTTCCTTTTCGATCCCACTGTAGTGAGAAGGCCACCAAGGTGCAGGACATCAAGAACAACCTGAAGGAGGCCATTGAAGTAGGTGCTTGGGTTCTTTCTCGCTCCGCCAGCCCCCATCCAGACAGTGCCACCCCCTGACCGCTTGCTAAACCCTTTCCAGACCATCGTGGCCGCCATGAGCAGCCTGGTGCCCCCCGTGGAGCTGGCCAACCCCGAGAACCAGTTCAGAGTGGACTACATCCTGAGCGTGATGAACGTGCCGGACTTTGACTTCCCTCCCGTAAGCTGCACCCTTGGGTGGTCGCCTCGGCCCCTCCCTTGCGCAGTTGACACGCCTGTGTCAAAGCTGCACTTCCCAAAACGTGTGTCAGTGGTACTGGTTCTTGGGAAAGAGCTAATTCTATAGAATCCTGAACATTAACACAAGAAGCTAACAGTGAGGGCTTTGCTCAGGACAGATGACAGCCTGTCACCCCTGTAAACCTAGGCTCACCCACCCCCACAAGTAAACGTCACACTGTAATGGTACAGATCTCACTTGGTTACATACATGGTGACTTTTATGAGAGAAAGAAGTCATGAGTTGTACCCTTAACTGTTCCTCGTACACACCTCATGACAGACAAAGCTGTATGTTCAGCATGGCACACACACGCTGATCGGCCAGCTGCTCGAAAGTCTCCCCAGATGCTGTGGACGCAGGAGTGAGGTGCCAGCTCCGAGTCGTAAATGGAGAGCCTTCTCATTCGAAACGCTTTACCATGTCACCTTTCCCAAGGTTTTCCTAAAATCGGGCCTCACCTCGGGGCAAGTGAAAAGAAATCTTTTCTCGATATTTGAAACAAAAGACTTTTCACCTAAATTATAACTCAGAGTTTCTTCTGCGCAGCCCGGTTGGCCTGTGCGACACTGTTTACAAAGATCTGTCTGCTCCATAAAAAACTGTCAGGAGCACAAAACTGCTCATAAACAAGCCTATACATTTTGACCCCTTTGTGGGAAAAGAATAGTTTATAAGAGGAACAGGAAACAAGTTTATGCAGCCCAGAAGGGAAAGCCTGGGCCACGGTGAAAACAATGACTTATTGTTGCCTTTTTTCAGGCTTTCATGGGAATTTGTGCATTTTAAATGGGTGTGGCCACAGACATACATAGCAGAGAAAGCAGTATTGATAAGCACGGCTAGGTGAATTGTTTAAATAGCGTTTGTTTTGGGAAAATGTAAACAGTACACATAATGCAACACGCAGACTTCTTCATGAAATCCGATTCTGTTTCTAACAGAAGAATGGCAGCCTGTTAAAAAGGCAACACCTTTCATTCGTCCTGTTGATACCTAGACTTAAGTTCCCGCCTACTTCGAGCCCTTCTCCAGCTGAATTCACGCTGCGGGGCCACCCTTCCCTCCCTGTAGGAGCCGATGCCCCCCTCCCCGCTAGTCAGAATGTCTGTGTCCCAGTGAAACGCAAGCCATGACCTACTGCGCTGTACGGCAGCCGTTCTCACCCCTTCTGGAAGGCCAGCCGCTGACAGGCCAGCAGCCCCCAATCACACTGTGCTTTTGGTAAAATTCTAGTTTTCCTTGAAGGCAAATTCAGTCCCAGCACATCTTAGGAAGGTTCTTTCTGTGCGTTAGTCCCTCGACCCGGCCGGTTGGGGAGCATGCGGGCTGCTGGTCCCGGCGGCCGTGGGCCCCGAGCCCCCGGGACGGGCCCTGGCCGGGCGCGGGCTCCCGCCCTGAAACACTCTCTCGTGTGTCCTTCAGGAATTCTACGAGCACGCCAAGGCTCTGTGGGAGGACGAGGGCGTCCGCGCCTGCTACGAGCGCTCCAACGAGTACCAGCTGATTGACTGCGCCCAGTAGTAAGCGGCCTGCACCCCAGCACACGCGGGGCACACGCGGGGCACACGCGGGCACACACGGGGCACACACGGGCACACACGGGCCGCACAGCCCTGACTCCCACTTTGAAAGCCACTTGCAAATGAGTTCTTTTCACAGCAGCCAGCCAGTTATTCCCACCTGCAGTTAGAAAGTTTTCCTCTGATTCATTTGTTTTTCAAAGCCCTTAATTGCACTTTTTAGTGCAGTGACATTATTTTATATAAACAATTAATGCCTGTTAGAGCAGAATGATAATTATGTGCAATGAAGTGACGTTCATAATTAATTAGCTTGAGGTAATTAATTGAATTGACCTTAAAGCATTTAGGGAGATAGGGCAGCTCTCACACTTGGGATAATGTAAAAATATTTTATTTTATTGCTGTAATTTTTTAAAAATAACAAACACATGCATCCCCCATCCTTGGTAGCTGGGGATCACTTGGCCATCTCTGCTGCCGGGGAAGTGACTGCAGTAGCTGCCAGGGTCCGATGTCACCTGGAGCCTGGGGAGCATTGGGAAAAGCCGTGGCATAAACCGGGGAGGAAGAGACAGCGGGGTCTCCCAGACCTTGCTCCCCACACGTCGCACAAGCTGGTGTTGGAGTCTGTGAAACCTGTCGATTTAGTCTTCCCTGGCCCTGCCTTCCTGTAGGAAGTGCGTTTGATTATTTTCAATTGTCACATGTATAGGTGCTTCATAGGGTTTACTAGATGAGGAAGTTTGTATAGTTTTCACCAGGGACAGAAAAACAGTCCCATCTTGGCCAGTCCCTACGACCCCCACCCCCACCCCTTCTCCAACAAAGTCCCTAGTTTTCTCAAAAGTTTGAGCTAAAAGCTGGAAGTGCTAATTATAGTAACACAAAACAAATGGAAATCCTGGAATTGTTTGCGTTTGTCTTTTGGATCTCAGTCAGAAGTACAGGTTCAAGATGAAGGTTTTGACCGCTCCGGGAGGGGGCGGGGCGGAGCGCGCGTTAGTAGCAGTTAGGGCAGGTCTGTCGCTTTGTTTCTTACACCACGTAAAAGTTGTCGAATGCAACTTTTAACGTTTAATGCAACAGTAAGTTACTCTGGCAACTTTATCTGAAAATGGCAACACTTGCCCAGTTTATGGAAAGTTTTAAGGAAACTCGCAGGAAAAAGGCCATAGCCTAGAACTTTTATAAAATGTCTTCCGGGCCGGAGGATCGAAGCAGCCCGGGCACCAACCAGTCCGTCCGCGGCGGAACCGCCTCTATGTTAAAGCCGAGATACTGGTACCTTGCCCATTTCTTAAGCTGCCTATTTTTATTTGTTGAGCTGGGGTTTGGCTGGCCCCACTCCAGATGTGTCTCTCACAAGATTTGGTGCTGCTGTTCTATTAATAGAACTGTGGTTCTGTTGCCATGGCAACGCGCTGGAGGCCAGGGCGGCTGGGGAGCTATTTCTGGACTGGTGCTGTAATGTAAGACGGACTGGGCAAGTTGGCGTGCCCTCCTGCCAGACTAGCCGAACTGGTGGAAAGGAAGCAGGGGAAACGCACAGAATTTCGTTCGGGAGACTCTTCTCCCTGTGGGATTTTCTTTTCTGATCAGCCGGCTTTAAACAGTTCTTACACCAACACCCCCTCCCTCACTACCGCCCCCCCCAAGAAAAGCTAGTTTTAGCTTTAATCTTTCCATATTAATTAAATCAGCCCCATCTTTCAAAAGTGACTTTTCCTAATGGTGTGTCCAGCCGAGCAACACGAGGGAAATAGCTTTCGCTTTGGGACCAGCCGCGGCTGCGGCTGCGGCTGCGGCGGGGGAGGGGGAAGCTGCCCTTCCGGGTGACACTTTCATCTGAGCGAGGGCCTCTGAGACCCCAGGCCCTGGGCGGGCCCGTGCCCCGGATGGCCCTGAGGTTTTCGAAGCGCTCCGTGTTTCGTAGCTGGAGAGCTGCATTTCATGGACCACATGGAGCGGAAGGGCACTGTGTCGGCTTCCTGTTCGGTGTGGTTGGGGCAGAAAGGGCTCCTTCGTGTCAGCCTCTTTTGTTCTCTTTAATAAGTGAGATGCTTACAAGGTGGAAGGAAGGGATGCCCGTGCCGAGTAACTCAAGCCATCTCCTTGTCCCTCGTCCCTTGCGGGGACAGCCCTCATTTCTTTTAAGTGTGGCCTTTTACGTTGTTTTAAAAAAACTGACGTGGAAGTATGTAGATTTTCAAACTACCTGCCATTTGTCAAAGCCAGTGTGGAACTAAATTTTTTAGTCATCAAATGGCACAAGATCCGACAGGCGTGGCTTGGGACACGCTGCCGGCTGCTTTGCACAGAACCAGCCTTTTACAATGCAGGCAGGACCGGGGCCCCTCCCTCTGCCTCTGCTGTAGCCCGGGGAGCCCCCGACCCCCGCGGGCACAGGCGGGCTCCCCGCGACTTCGCTGCGGCGGCGGCCGG